GGAATAGCTTGTGTTATAAATTTGTCTTAATTCTCTATATATTTTAGAAATGAGGCCTTTATCAGAGAGACTGGTTGTAAAAATTCTTTCCCAGTTTTCTACCTTCCTTCTAATAATCTTAGTTGCATTGGCTTTGTTTGTGCAAAACCTTTTCAATTTAATGTAATCAAAATTATCCATTTTGCTTTTCATAATGTTCTCTATCTCCTGTTTGGTCATGAATTCTTCTGTTCTCCATAGTTCTGATAGGTAAACTATTCCTTGTTCTCCCAGTTTACTTATGGTATCAGCCTTTATATCTAAGTCATGAACCCATTTTGACTGTGTTTTGGTATATGGTATGAGATTTGGGTCTATGCCTAGTTTCTGCCATACTCAAAAGGGCCATTTTTAAAAAATTATTAAAAACAACGTAAAATGAAAACCTAGAATTAGTTGCCATATGGATGATTTGCTTAGAAAACCCTAGCAAATCACAAACTGATTGAGGCAATTTCTTCAATAAAGTAATGGAAATGAATGAAAATGCATTAATTAGCACTTGCTGACAACTAATTACTTAACTAGCTACTTAAAAGTATCAACTAAACACTGTGTTAAGTGCTAGGGATACAAATAGAAAAGTAAGGCAGACCCTGCTATCCAGAAGCTCACATTGTAATAAGTAGAGACAGTGTATATGGGGGAGTTCAGCTACAGGTCAGATGGAAAGGTCCAGTTGTGCTCAGAGTTCAGTGTCAAAGCAAGTAATTATCTTCTTAAATGTCACTTCCATTAATGAAACCATAGCAGCTTCTAATATGAACCCCAACAACATTTTTAAAAATCATACATTATTACCAGAGTGGATTTATTTCAGGAACATTGGGTTCAATATGAGAACATAGTAAACATAGTAAACATACTAAAAACATAACAGACCATACTAATACCAAAAATCAATAAAACCCATGATTATTTCAATAAATATAGAAAAAGCTTTTTGACAAAATGCAATATGCCGTTTGTTTTTTAAAATCACTGGAAAGTGGGGGCAGCTAGATGGTGTAGTAAATAGAGCACCAGCCCTGGATTCAGGAAGACCTGAGTTAAAATCTGGCCTCAGATACTTGACACTTGTTAGCTGTGTGACCCTGGGCAAGTCACTTCAACCCATTGCTTCACCCCCCCCAAAAAAAATCACTGGAAAGCATAGAAACAGACCTTAATAGGGTAAGTAGTGTCTATCTAAGGGGCAGGTAGGTGGTGCAGTGGAGAGTCAGGAAGACCTGAATTTGAATGTAGCCTCAGACACTGACTGGCTGTGTGACTTGGGCAAATCACTTAACCCTGTTTGTCTCAGTGTCCTCATCTGTAAAATGAGCTAGAGAAGGAAATGGCAAACCACTCCAGGACCTTTGCCAAGAAAACCCCAAAAGGAGTCACAAAGAGTAAACATGACTGAGCAACAAACATCTATCTAAAACCAATTGCAACCATCTCCTCTAATGGAGAAAAATGAGGCCTTTCCAGTGTAAGCCAGGTTCCCACTTCTGTTCTGTATTCTGTTGCATGTGCATAGGCATTCTATCCACCTAACTGGTAGATAGATACAGTTACAGATGTTCTTTGAATTCAACTGCAAGGAAGAGAGAGAATTTGGAAGCTGTGGATAGCAAGGTATAGTAGAAGCTGGCTCCTCAACATATCCCTGATTTTCAGCTTGTTTCCCTAGAGACTTTGGAGGGAGACTTTCCACTTGTTATGCTCCTTTGTGTAAAGTGTTTGGTGGAAAGAGGTCAACCCAGCTAGTATATGCTTAGAGCTACCCTCCTCTCCCCCTTAAGGGCTAGCAACCAGGGAATTGGCCTTTATTTTGAGCCTATTGTCCTCCTAGTACACACACACATCCTATAACAAAAAGATCAAGGCTACAACAAGGTTGTCCTGTGTCACCACTGTTACTTGATATAGTTCTAGAAATAAGAGCTATAGCTATAGCAATACAATAGGAAAAAGAAATTGAGGGAAGAAACATAGGCAAAGAAGAAACAAAATGATCACTTTGCAGATGATTTGATGGTTTACTTAAAGAACCTTCGAGATTTAACTAAAAACAAAAATAGAGCAGAAAAAGTGCTTCAGAAAAGTATGGGGATACCTCTCCTCACCTGGTCTATGTCCAGGATTCCCAACAAATATATCTGTAATGCTCCGTTCCTCATACATTGAGACCCTGGGGAAGACTAACTCAGGCTCAAGTTACTCTGTGAGTATGTTCTCCTAAAACTAGCTCGTGAGCTGCCACCCGTGTGTTTTCCTTTAACAATCAGCCGTTTGACTGACTCCCAGCAAAGTCATTTACTACAATAATGTAAGAATAGTCATAGAAAGCACTTCCTCCTATAGAACTGGGGTACATTCTCCCACTAATACATACAAGAATAAGAGGAAAACAGCATAAACAGAGTTCATTAGAAGAGTTGTAGATGTAGACAACATGATCCATGGCCTCTGGCACTGTAGAACCTTGATGTCCTTTCTTTTCAAATCCTTCCCTTCCCCAATCCCCCACCAAGAGGCAAACAGCAATTCCTGGATTTTTCTTCCAAAGTGGCTCTCTTCTCAACTACCAGAACTCAAATTCTCTCAGAATTATCTCCTCAAATGTGTCCCTAGAGAAGTTTTTAAAGGGCCACTAAGGTATTGCTGGTAATTAGGCTAGCCCCCTGCAGGTTCCATCAAGCTTGAATGAAAAATTTCACATCTCATAAAGAGGGTGACAAAGTATAAACACTTCTTTACACTTTGTTGAAGAACTTGTCTCTATTACTTTCCTCTTGATTTCATCAATTGATCAGGAGTTCTCTTATTAATCCCTTCCCCTACTATATATCAATTGACTTATGGTGAGAAAGACCCACAGCTCAACATTTAGGGTACAAGTCAAAAAGTTTTTTGATACTACAACCCATGGGACAGAGAAACTGGTTGGCTCAAACATTTCTATAAACCAAATAGGATCTTTTCCAAACAATTTTTAGCCACTACATAGTGAAGAAAATGAAGAAGTAACTCTAAGGTCCATTATTAAGGTCCATAACCATTTTTAACTTCAAGGTAACAATGTTCCATACAATGAAAGATGAAAAGAGTATGTAGTTCTCAGACATAAGTTTGCCATACCCTACTGCCTAGTTCATTGCTATGAGCAGGAAATTCATGATGTTATAATAAATAAATAAATGTATTATGAAAGTCTTAGTTTAGATTTTTAGGGAGACTAGTGTGCCCTTTCTTCAAATTATATTCTAATAACAGTAACCTTTAGCTTTGTAAATAGACTGTGCCAAAAGTAAACCAAAATACAAAGTGAGCTGATTATTCAATTTACCATGGAGACAAAAAAATATAGGGCCTCTTTCCCTTTGCCTCCACACTGACAAGAAAGTTTTTCCGGAGAAAATTAAACACTTTTAATAAGTTAAAAAAATTTTATATTAATATTCCTCAGTGACATGAGTTTATAGCATTTACAAGATTTCTCTCCCCACCTCCCACCACACAGTAGCTATGGCAGCTACATGCTCAGAGCAGCAAGAGCATGTGCTTACCTAGTAAAGTCTATGCAGCTCAAGGCCCTGGCTGCTGCTTCTGTTTTGTGTTTCTGTCCCCAAACACAGGTGACTGAAGAGTGATCCTAAGAGGGGGCATGTCTAACCATGGTGGCTACTTAGTGGACTCAAGCGTTTGGGAATTTCAAAGTCAGGAGGTGACTAAGCCAGAAGGAGGTGATTTCTACAACAGCAGTGCTTGTGGAGAAGAACCAGTATCGTTCCAGGAAGATTCTGTAGCCAAAAACCTGAAGCCCTGGATTGCTAGGTGATCTAGACTGGTGAATTGCATAGAAAGAGGAAAAAGTGACACACCTGTTCAACAGGACTACAAAATGTTTTATGTTATGTTATGCAGAATCATAATCTCATACATTCCCTAAGGAAACAAACCTAGTTAAACAGACTCTATAGGTAAACTAAGTTAGGTTCTAGATTAAAGCACATTTAGAAAGTTCACAATGGACTGATTGAGGGGAAAGGGATTTACATGTCACCAAGATAATCAAGGAGTCTGCTACAGTTGGAATCCTTCTTCAAATAACTATGTCACTTTGGGAAGGTCGAACTCCCCTTTGGCTTCTATCTGAGCAATGTCAAACAGTTTTTAACACTATCATTTCATGAATCAAGTTTTAATCAGGTGAGATTAATATTAACAGAAGACAGGCTTTTAGTTAACCAAAAGATGCAAGAGGAATGACCCTGAGCCCCAAATGATAAAAAGTAATAAAAGAAAAAAAATTCTCATAACAGGTGTGTTTTGAGCTAAAGAAAGAAATTGCCTTTTTTTCTTACTAATAATAAAGATGAAGCATATTTATTTTATAATATGAAAATTATTTTATAAATGTGAAAATGTAAAGGATTTTATCAATACATATCTGTATGCTTTGTTATTTTGTTGTATGTAATTTGTTAGAAAGTTGTTCTGGATGTTTTCTCTAACTGTACCCCATGCCTGGAATTCATTTCTTCCTCACCTCTGCCTTTTGGAATTCTTGGTTGACTTTAAGATTCAATTCAAGCTTTATCTGTCAAGGGACTTTCTGGGTCCCTCTAGCTACTGTTGCCTTCCTTTACAACCCCCCACCCCCCCACCCCAGTTTCCTTGGGTCTGTTTTGTATATATGTGCGTGTGTACCCTGTTTGAATGAAAGCTCTTTGAGGCTACAAAAGTTTTACTCTTTTCTTTGTATCTTCAGCTCTATGCATACCAGTGCTTAATAAATAGCTGCAGAAACAGCAGGGACAGGGATAACTACCATTTGTCACTAGGCCCTGGGTAACCATCCAGCCAAGGGGCGGAAGGTCTGAATAACAGGAAAAACAGGGAGGAAAAGGAGGCACATAAAGCAGAAGAGGAAAGACCGGGTTCTGGGCGGGAACAAAGCGAGGAGACAAACAGGAAGTGGGTGGGAAACTGGAGACTGTTAGAAGCAAGACTTTAGGAGAAGAGAAATTTGGTCAGACTCAGTGTCTAGTCTGGACTCCTGGGTGTGGTGGCCTCTGAAAGCACACTCAGCAAGCTCCAGTTCTCCACCCTATGATTCTGCCTCCCCCCCTCTCCCCAACCTCTACCCCAAGTGGGAGGAGAGATCCTTCAGTGTCATCTACCAGGCCTAAGATTCAAAGAAGGGGAGGAGCCCGGCCAACCCTCTCCTCTCTCCACACTTCGAGAAATTGCAGGCTCCTAGCTTCAACCCCTGGACTTCCCTTTCTGGGTTCTGGAGCTTCTCCGTCCGCTGGCTAGAGCGAAAGAATGGCTACCTTGCAGCTAGAGGAGAAGCTAGTCTGTGCAATCTGTCTGGAGTTGTACCAGGAAGCTGTCACTCTGCCCTGTGGCCACAACTTTTGCCGGGCATGCATCGAAGACCACTGGCGCAGGCAAGAGGTGGACTGCCCCCAGTGCCGGACCCCGTTCATGCAGCGCCCCGCACTGCACAAGAACGGGGCTCTGTGTGAAGTGGTGGAAGCCCTCAGGACGGCCGAAAGGCAGCTGGTCGCGGTGAAACCAGTACCAGGCCCGAGCCGGTCAGCCCTATGCCCCCGGCATGGGCGAGCCCTGGAGCTCTACTGCGAGACCGAGAAGCTGTGCATCTGCTGTGCCTGCACGGTGGACCAGTGCCAGGACCACCAGCGCGTCATGCCCGATGTGGAGCGCAAGGAGCAAGAGGTGAGGGAGCTGGAGGGGTGGGCAGATGCAGGACAGTCTGAACCGAGTCTTCACGCAGCCAGTCCATTCCCAACCAAACCCTGGCCCAGCTTGTGGAGGCAGCTGGGGAGCATAGTGGGATGGTGGAGCGCTAGGCTTGGAGTCTGGAAGACCCGAGTTCCAATCCGGACGCAGACACTTGGCTAGCTGTGTGACTCGGGGCAAGTCACTAGCCAGTCACAGCCTCAGTTATCCCATCTGTGAAATGGTGATAATAATACGCACACACTCTCACACACCATTATTCTGTAGATAAAATGAAATGTAACATGTATAAACACCATTATTTCTTAATTACCTACGATGAATGGGCTAGGTGCAGGAAATATAAAGACACAACACGAAACAATACCTGCCCTTCAAAAAGCCTACCTGATTACATTACATTTTAAAGTTTGTTTCTTTTGGGGGGGGGATTAATCCATAAAAACAAATTAGAAACACCGTTGGATATGTAAGGGCTATTGAGTGAGTAGATCTTAATTAATGCTTCTCCAGTTCATCTAGTGACTTTCAAAGACATCCATAATGATTCAGGATATTTTCTGCACTTGATCTAAAACCTCTAATTGTTTTCTCATAGAAAACTGTTCTCACCTGGGTAACGTACCAGAGCTTAATGTCTTGACATTAAATGGGGTGGGATAATTGGTCCACCAGCTCAGTGACAGCCATTCTTACAAACAAAATGTATAATAAAACAAAAAAAAAGTTTCTCAGAAAAGACAATTGTTTTTCTTTTAAATATGTGTCTTCTTGTGGCCAAAATTCCAAATATAAATATATATGTATATATTGTATCTCTATATCTGTATAGAGATGTATACACGTATATGTATATATCTATCTATATCTGTATATATATATATATATACACATCTATGTGTGTATGTATACATATATATAGATCTCTAGATCGATGTATCTAGATAGACATATATTGATAGATCTAGATCTATCAATATTGATATCTGTATCTATCTATACTGATATCTACAGCTATCTACATATCTATCAAAATTGATATCTGTATATCTATCTACCTATATACATCTATATCTATCAATATTGATATCTACCTATATATCTACATGGATAGATATCTATATATCTATATTGAATATCTAGCTCTATTATATATCTTACTTATCTATATATAGTTATATCTACCCATATCTATATTTATATAATGATGTCTATCGATATTCCTATCTCTCTATATATTTATATAAATATATCTATAGGTCTAACTATATATCTATATCTAGCTAGCTACATAGATAGATAGATATAGATATATACGAAGAGGAGGAAGAGACCACTAACACCTCAGGAGACCAGCAAAGCACTTGAGCTGAGCCTTGAAGGAAGCTAGGGATTCTAAGAGGCTGAGGTGAGGATAAAATGCTTTCCAAGCATGGGGAAGAGCCTATGGTTATTGGTGGTGGTATTCATCCTTCCTTCTCAAAGAGGACCAATGATATCACAGAGGGTGGTTTCTTGACCTGCACACCAATTGGATTTAAATGAGGCAGGTGTGCAAAATCCTCAGGCTCACTCCCTTCCAGAATCATTAAAGTCTAGTGGCAAGACAAAGGTCTAGGTGACTGGTACTGGCCCAGGATGCAGTGCATGAACCTTGGCCTTTCTAAATTAAGATCTTTCCCAGGTCTCAGTTTGTCTGAGGCCAGGACCATTCAATGTCTAAGGGATAAGAGTTGAGACAAAAGATAGCCCAATTTACCATTACAAAGATAGCAGTCTGGAAGGTGAAGGCCATTGCCATTTACACTCATTCAAAGCCATCCAGACCTAAACAATGAGCCACATAATCAATGATTATGAAAACTATTAGAAAGCATTTGAGCAGGAGGTGGAATGGTGAGTCAGGGAATAGCAAGTTAGTCAATTTGCTTGTCTGTGCTGATGCCTCTAGATAATTGTTGAGATCTTCAGGGAATGTTGGGGCCTGGGGCTAGAGAGGGGGTAGAAACGATGAGACAGGAACCAGGACCCTTTCCTTTTGCCTAGATCTAGTGCTGAGGTTAGGAAGACATAGAGATCACATATGTTTAGCACAAGGTTCTTAACCACTCATTTTGTTATAGACCTCTTTGACCATCTGATGAAACCTGTAGACCCCTTCTCAGAATAATGTTTTTAAATGCAAATGAAGATGTCATTTTTTTTCCTCATCCAAGTTAACAGACTGCCTGAAATCTGTGGACCCCAGGTTAAGAAACTCTTATTTAGCACTTTACAGGCGCCACAAGCTTGTTTCAATCTCCACAGTAAAACTAAAGGATAGGTATAGTAGGTATTATTATCCCCATTTTACAGATGAAGAATCAGAGGTCCAAAGGAGGAAGTAAGTTGACCAAGGTCACACATAGCGTGTGTGGCAGAACTCAGGTCTTTTGATTCCCATGCTAGTGCATTTCGCAGTACCTGGTATGATATTGGCACAGGGTAGAAGGAGACGTCCGGATCTACACCCTATCTGGATCCTGTCTTGCCTTTTTATCTCACTGATGTCATAGAAACGGCTGGAAGAGCAGCTGGAGGAAAACTGGAGGCAGGCAGTCCAGGCTGAGGAACAAGTTCAGGAGCTGCAGCAGAAGAGTGAGGAGATTCAGGTAACGTAGCCCTTCCTCACACCTCCAGAATTACTGCCCTTCGCATTGGAGAAAGAAAAAAGTTTCTTTTTAATCATGAATATGACAATCATGGACATTTCCTTATATAGAGAACAGAACAAGAGGATTACTTATGATACTTTGTATAGCTTGTTATATCTTTAAAATATAGATTAAATTTAAGACCACACTTCCAACACTGCCCTGCTTGTCCATGTCCCCTTCAGAAATTCCTTTTCCTCCTTTCAATATATTTTTTACTTTGTTTCACTGACAATTTCTTTTTTCTTTTCTTTTTGTTATCACCATCACTACCTCCTCAATTCTCCCCCCCAAAAAAATCTCACCCTCCTTTTTTGTACATTAATTTAATTTTAATGTTACTCTGCTATAAGAAATAATGTATGTGATAAATACAGAAAAGCGTGGAAAAATCCACATGAAATGTAGCAGTGAAGTAAGCAGAGTCAAGAAAACAATAACATAGTTACTACAACAGTGTAAATGGAAAGAAAAACCACACATCCAAAATTCAAAAGTGAATGTAACAAAATTAGAAAGATCAAGCATCAAATGAAGACATGAGAAGACATCTCCAGCTCACCCCTCCATGGAGGTGGGATGTCCGCAGATGTTATACATCTCACGTGTTTTCATACTTTTTCATTGGTATGAATCAGTTGCTCTGATTTTTCTTTTTCTTTTTTTTTGGTTTCTCTACAAAATGCTATTTGATACATAGAATGGCTCTCTGGGAGGGAGATACTGAGTATCACCATGCTGAAAACCCTCTTTTGTAACAAATAAGGGTAAGCAAATAAAAAAAATCTTACACATTGGCCTTGCTTGAGAAGGTTATCGATCATTCTGAACCTCTTCTCTATCATCTCTCTGCTAAGAGGTAGAAGTAGAAAGCTAATTTCATCATTGGTTCTCTGGAATAGTGACTGATCATTGTATCAATTGTAGGTCTTAAGTCTTTTATAAGTTATTTTCCTTAGCACATTGCCTGGCACATAGTAGATACTTAAGAAATGTTGATCGATTGATTATCTAACACCTTACATAATTGCTTCTGGGTTTTGTGTATTTTATTTTCCCACTGATCAATTTTTTTCTAATTTTTCAATCAATACCAGAGAACTTTGATGATTACTTTTTTTTGTAGAGTAGTTTGAGAGCTGGTGATTTTAGGTGCCTTTCTTTCCCACTTTTTTTTTCATGTTTTCCCTTGATATATTTTTGTTCATCCAGATGAATTTTATAGTTATTTTTCTAGTGTTATACAGTAACTCTTTGGAAATTTAATAGCATAGTATAGAATGTATAAATTAGTAAGTGTTGTCATTTTTATTTATTGACACATCCCAAACATAAGCAATTATTATCTCTCTAATTATTTTAGTTTGTCTTCATTTCTATATAGAGTATATTCTTATAATTTCTGTGTGTCTTGGTAGGTTGGCTCCCTGATATTTTATACATAGCTTGGTTATTTTGGGGGGGGTGAGGCAATTGGGGTTAAGTGACTTGCCCAAGGTCACACAGCTAGTGAGTGTTATGTCTCTGAGGTCAGATTTGAACTCAGATCTTCCTGAGTCCAGGGCTGGTGCCCTATCCACTGTGCCACCTAGCTGCCTCTTATACCAAACTTTTGAGTATGTATGTTCAACACTCTTTTGTTCAGGTAAAAGCACCATTAGATCTCCGTCCCTACCCCTTCCTCCATGTTTGCATAATCTTCTTTCGATGTACCCCAGTTACTCAAAATAGTACGTTCTTTACCTTTCTTTCTCATTTCTTTCCTGGTTTATTAATTTTATCCCTCCATTTTATTTCTTTTCTTAAAAACAACAAAATAACACACACCTTTGTGTTTGCGTGTATCTTAACACCATCTGTGATCCTTGAAAATTGGAGTATTGTGAAGGGACACTTATCCCTTTCCCCCTTTTTGGAATGAAAGAATTTCATCATTGCTTCAAGTTATTTAAGTGTGGGTTTTTCTTAGTTCTGTGTTTGCATTTAAAGTTTCTACTCAGCTTAGGTCTTTTCATCAGGAATGTTTGTAGGTCCTCTGTTCTAGTTAAGGTCCATTTTCCCCCTGTAGCATGAGACTTGGTTTTGCAGGGTACATTATCTTTGGTTTTCAAGCCTCTTATCTCTGTTATTGTGAGATTCTTTGTGACTCCTTGGACCAGCACACATCAGGCCCTTTTATCTTTTATTGTCTCTCGAAGTCTGCCCAAGTTTCTCTTTTATCTATTACCTTTTGGAAAATTATATTCCAAGTTTTTCACATCATAATAGTTATAGCATAGTCTTGTATAATCCTGACTGTAGTTCTTTGGCACTTAAAATGTTTCTGGCTACTTGCAATATTTTTGCTTTGACTAAAAGCTTTGGAATTTGGTAACGGCATTCTTGAGTGTTTTCACTTTAGAGGTTAAGTGGTATATGCTTATTTATTCTTTGTCTTCTGGTTCTGGTGGGTCAGTTTTGTTTTATGATTTCTTGAAATAAAATATGCATGGTTTTTGATTGGTAATGGTTTGCAGAGAGTCTAATTGTTCTTCAATTAGCTCTCCTCAACGTATTTTTCCAGATCAGTTGTTTTTGTAGATACCGTCCAGTTTCTTCTTCTTTTTAATTTCTTTGACTTTAACAATAGCTCACATTTATGTGAGGGTTTTAAGATTTGCAAAGTGCTTTACATGTATTACCTCATTTAATCTAACTTTCTTCTAATATTTCTTGTCTCATGGAGTCATTGAATTCTGATTGTTCTGTTCTGTTTTTCAGAGTCCATCATTTGGGTAAGGCTTTCTACTTTTGGTTTTGCTTTATTTCTTCCAGAAATTCTTGTGATCCTCATAGCCAAACCATTTTTTCCCCTCTGGGATTCTGCTTGTATTTGTTATGCAATTACTCTTTTCATCTAGGATTACCTCAAGGCTTTCTCTTAATCCTTAGTATTTCTTCACAGTGTTTAGTGTTTTCTTCTGTTTACTTATATTTTCTCTGGCATGATTCCATTTTCAGCCCTCCCAGGCTTCAGGTCCATTTGCCAGATCTTTCACCAACTTCTCTGGTTGAATTCTTTTCCAGTCTCCACTGTCTTGGCTTTTTGTGTAATTCCCTATTGGAGTTCTGTTATTCATTTCTTTTTCCTTAGGTTGGGAGGGCTAGCTTTTCTACAACCTCCACATTGTCATATTTACTGGAAATGTGAAGTTGGGGAGTAGGAAGGGGATTGGTTAGCTACTCCCCGTGGCCTCTGGCACTAGGCTGGCTGGATTGGTAGGGGCAAATTGGGAGAAGGAAGCAGGCTGCTCAACCTTACCCCTTTCACACTTGGCAATGCGGTTCTCTGTCTGCCCCCATAGTCTACCCACTGGTAGAAGAGGCTGATTTCCAGGTAGCCTGGTTTCATGGAAAGATAAAATCATAGCTTTGGAGTTGGAAGGGACGTCAAAGATAATCTAATCCACCCTCCCCCCTCACGTTAAAGTTAAAGAAGCAGCTAGGTGGTACAGTGGGTAGAGGGTGGACTTGGAATCAGCAAGACCTGAGTTCAAATCCTGAATCAGACACTTATTAGCTCTGTGATCCTGGCCAAGTCACTTTGCTTCTGTCTGCCGCAGTGTCTTCATCTGTAAAACACTGATACATCTGTAAAACATCTGTAAAACAGGGATAATAATAGCACCTACCTCCCAGGGTGGTTGTGAGTACTGAATGAGATAACATATGTAAAATGCTTTACAAACTTTCAAGGTCTAGATAGATCCTGCCAATTATGATTAAAGAGAGGCCCTGAGTGGGGAAATAAGTTACTCAAGGTCACACAGTTAATAAATAGCAGAGCCAGAATTTGAATCCTGAGCTCTCTGACTTCCAATAGATTTCTCTTCATACTTTACTATGTTATCTCTCTTAATGGGATTATGAGCAAGCCACTCCAAGCCTTAGTTTTCTCAGCTGTAAAGTGAGAATAATAATACCCCTATAAGTTTGTTATGAGGAAAGCACTCTGCAAATCTTAAAGTAGGAGGGGTCAGTATTTAATTCAGCAGACAGGAGAAATACTTGTGTTCTCACGATGCTGGGCCCCTGGACACATCTTCCGGGGACCCAGCCTGTCACTGCCCTGTTCCACCTCACTCAGAGTTGACCCCACTCTGTTTAGTGCCCCAGAGCTGTCTTTGTCAGTCTATGCCCACCTTCACTGCTCCCAACTTGAGCCTCCTCCGCCCACCCAGAACTCAGTCCACACTCTGGCCTTGGCTGTCTCCAAAAAAGTCGCTTGCCTGATGCGGGCCCTCGAAGCACAGCGGGATAAGGCGTTCCAGAGCATTGAGCAGGAAAAGGCAGCTGCCCTGGCACAGGCCAGGGAGACCAAGCAGTGGCTTCAGGACCACATGGAATACCTGGCACGGCACACCCAGCAGATCCAAGAGCTGTTAACCTGTCCCGATGACATGAGCTTCCTCCAGGTACCCAGAGGTAGTGAGAGAAGTTGACGGGGAAGGGAGGGGAGGGTGAAATCACAAATGGAAGGGAAGAAGACTTGGTGGAGAGAAGGATTCTTTCCCGAGTGGGACTAGGGGCACTTCAGGCCTTATGACTGATGGTCCCATGTCTCTGATGGTTCAGAGGGCTCTACTTCTGATACCCCCTGGGTCTTTGGCACCAGTGCCCTCACTGACATGGGATGAAGATGCTGGTCAGCTGAAGGAGCTGAAGAAGACACTAGACCAAATCTATCAACTCCTGATGAAGGATGAGATTGGCCCTGTGAGTCTTGGAGATGCAGATCCTGGCCTCAATGGTAAGGCTGACCTCCTACCTTTGATAGCCTTTACCAATGCCCCTCCTCCACAGTCTGGGATTGACTGTTTCTTGACCCCAGGGAACAGGCCAAAGTTATTTCCCTAAGTGATAGTGCCTCCCTATTGCCTAGCCTCAGGCCAAGCTGAGTGGTCCCCACAGAGCATCCCCCTTAGAATAGTAAGTAGAGGATCTCCAAAAAAAAGGGGATCAGTCCTCCTTCATAACACCCCATCCTCTTATTCTAGAGCACAGAGGACCCCTGGAATCAGTCCCAAGACCAGTGAGCACACTAAGGAAGGAATTGAAACAGAGTAAGCCTGCTCCATGTATATGTGTGTGTGCATCCATAGATGTGGGTATCATTCATGTACTGTCTATATACATGTCTATGCTGGTTGTTGTCTCTTTGGGTCTCAGGGATGTCAGCTATTGGAAGGAGCATCCCGGGAAGCCCAGAGGCAGGAAGAGTCTTAGCTCTTCCACTGGTGGGGTAGGGAAGTCACTCCTTGGATAGCCATAGAGCAGTGAAGTGGCTGGCCCCACAGCCCCTCACCACTGTGCATATTCCTTTTCTCACAGATTATCGCAACCTCACTTTTGACCCTGACACCGCCAACCACCACTTCTATCTATCCTGCCAAAACCAGCGGGTAAAACATGGCTCCAGGGCCCAGCATGCTACCCAGCCTGGGAGGTTTCAGCTATGGCAAGTGCTGTGCACACAGAGCTTTGAGGCAGGAAAGCACTACTGGGAGGTAGAAGTGTCAGACCATTCAGTGACCCTGGGTGTCACCTACCATGGGCTTGCCCGGAGAAATCTGCCTGGACAGACGGACAACATTGGGCGAAACTCTTGTTCGTGGGGGCTTCGGGTGCAGGAGGATGGCTACCAGGCCTGGCACAATGGGGAGGCCCAGCGACTTCTGGGCAAACCTGGACACCTCCTGGGAATGGAGTTGGACCTGCCTGTTGGACGTCTCTCTTTCTACAGCTTAGAGCCTCAGATGCAGCTCCTACATGTCTTCAATGCCTTCTTCACTCAGCCCCTCCATCCTGTCTTCTGGCTCTGTGAAGGCAGAACCATCACCCTCTGCCAGCTGCCTGGGGCCAAGCCTTATTCTGAGCCCCAGGAAGAAGCACTTATTCCCAGCTGAACAGTATCTAAAGAGGGTGGGGGAGCCCAGGGAAATAATGGTTATGTTTGAGAGGCATCAGGGGCTGAGGGTACAGATGCCAGGTCCCAATGCCCTCTTCTTTTTTTCCCCACTTAATAGTATTTTATTTTTTCCAATTACATGTAAAGATAGTTTTCAACATTCATTTTTGTAAGATTTTAAATTCCAAATTTTTCTCCCTACCTCCCTTCCCTCTCCCCCATACAGCAAGCAATCTGAGATAGTCAATACATGTACAACCATGTTAAACATGTTTGTATATTAATCAGGTTGTGAAAGAAGAATCAGAACAAAAGGGAAAAACTACCCCCCAAAAAGTGAAAATGGTATGCTTTAATCTGTATTCAGACTCCATTTTTTCTTTCTCTGGATGTGGATAGCATTTTCCATCATGAGTCTTTTGGAATTGTGTTGAGTCATTGTATTGCTGAGAAGAGCTATATTAGTCTTAGCTGATCATCATACAATGTTGCTGTTACTGTGTACAACGTTCTCCTGGTTCTGCTCATTTCACTGTGTATCAGTTCACGTAAGTCTTTCCAGATTTTTCTGAAAGCATCCTGCTCATCATTTCTTATAGCACAATAGTATCCATTACATTCATATGCCACAACTTGCTCAGCCATTCCCCAGTTGATGGGCATCCCTTCAATTTCCCATTCTTTGCCACCACAAAAAGAGCTGCTGCAAATATTTTGGTACATGTAGGTCCTTTTCCCTTTTTTATGGTCTCTTTGGGATATAGACCTAGTAGTGGTATTGCTGGGTCAAAGGGTATACACAGTTTTGTTGCCCTTTGGGCATAGTTCCAAATCGCTCTCTAGAATGGTTGGATCAGTTCACAACTCAACCAACAATGTATTAGTGTTCCAATTTTCCCACATCTTCTCCAACATTTATCATTTCCTTTTCTGTCATATTAGCTAATCTGATAGGTGTGAGATGGTATCTCAGAGTTGTTTTAATTTGCATTTCTCTAATCAATAGTGATTTAGAACATTTTTTCATAAGATTGTAGATAGCTTTAATTTCTTCATTTGAAAATTGCCCATTCATATCCTTTGATTATTTATCAATTGGGGAATGACTTGTATTCTTATAAATCTGACTCAGTTCTCTATATATTCGAGAAATGAGACCTTTATCAGAAACATTGGCTGTAAAAATTGTTTCCCAGATTAGAAAAAAAGCAGAAAGCTGGGAAACAATTTTTAAGCCAGTGCTCTGCTCTTCAGGAAATGCTTCTCCATTAATGGTGCCTGGATATTTGTTTCTACCCCACGCCTCCCTCCTCAGCATACTGGATACTTAAATACGAGAAACAACCAGAGCCTGTCCCTGGAGCACAGAATAGGCCTACTTCAAGTTTGGATAGTCTTAGAGAGATGGAGGAATATCCCAAACATATGTCCTCTCTGGCTACTTTGTGTTATAAAATAGATTGTTGCTTTTTCCATCTGACATTCATAGGATGACAGGGACAACAAAGAAAGAATAAAGTATGGGAGCAGTGGGGACTGCAAGGAGACAGTCAACCTCATACACTAATCATAGGATTTAGAGCTGGGAGCTAAAGAGATGACCATCAGGTTCAGCTCCATTTTACAGAGAGGAAAATTGAGGCCTAGAGGAGCTGACTTCCTGAAGTCACCCAGCTCCCCTGACTCTTTCCACCCAGTCTCAGTGTAGTAAAATGGATACTGGATGGAGGAAAAGTACCCTTAAGGACTTTCTAGAGCGAGTAGACAAGACACATATATACACATTAAGAATGTTTACACACAGGCTTAAGGGTTACCTCGGGAGTAAGCTCAAATTTGAGAGTTCAGGGATTGAAACTTCTAGAGCTGGGACCCTTAACCTAAGAGCCTATGAACTTTTTTTGTTTGCTTGTTTGTTTGTTTGTTTTAGTCTATGACCTTTTAAAAAATTTATTTTGATAACTTTAAAAAAATTTGTTTCTATTATAATCCTATGAGTTTTATTTTGTGCATTTTAAAAAACATTCTTCCTAAAAGGGGCTGAGATTGCTCAAGAGGTTTGTGTCACAAAAATAATCATAATTCTCTTTACCCTAATGAGAGAAAAAGGTGTGGGGTGGGGATGGGCGTCCTGAGCACTGTCTTTCATAGAGAAAAAGAAGAGCAACCGTAATCTCTGCAGATAGAGTACAGAGCCAGGATCTAGATGAGGGGAGTGGATTTTCTGAAGGAGGGAATAGGAGATCCAGACGTTGTGACCACCAGGTTATAGTGAGTTATTAGGACAGGCCAAGTGGGATGGAAAGGGAAGGATGGGAAGGATGCCGTTCCAGCGGCTCCACCATGAGTGTCCCTTCTGGAGGGAGTGCAAACCACAGGAAGCAGTACAAGTCCAGAGCAGATTGTGTAGGACCCCTGTGAAAGAGCTAGGGATTCCTCAGGATATTGGAATGTTGCCTTCATGGTAACCCTGGGACAGGGTGTTTCTGAAGAGAAATATTGAGTGATTCATGTGTTTTCAATTTCTATTTATGGGCTCCTGTGAGTCCTTTCTGTCCAGGGGTAACAAAGGCTGTCCTGTTTCTCCCCGCTCTTCCCCCAACTAAATGTTTACACAGCAGTACATGCCCCAAAATAGTCAATACCGTGCAAACTTTGTAGTATGAGTTAAATGTTGCGGTAAAAGTGGAGTGAATGTGATATAAGGCTAGGTGGGGTCAATCAGGGTAGATGTACCAAGGAACTGATTCTGGAGCGTAAATGGAAAGTGTGTGAAGGAGCACCCTGCCTTGCCTCATGTTGGTGTGCCGTGGTGTTCCTCCTGACTCCTTTAGCCCCACGGACCTCACCCAGCTTCCTTAGGCATCTGGTAAGACTCTCATGGTCTGGCTTTGCTTCTCTATACCTACCAGTTATGGGTGAGGGAAATATGGGGCAACTCTCTTCATTTGCTACAATGAGGTCAAATGGTACCAACCCTAATTTTACAGTCTGGGAGCTTCTTGGAGACCAAGGGATCTCCCAGAGCCAGGGACTCAGCTCTTACCAATTTGGGATCTGCAGTATCTAAATAACAACAACAATAATAACTAGCATTTATATAGTGTTTTAAGGTTTGCAAAGTGCTGTACAATTATCTCACTTTATTCTCATGACAACCCTGGAAGGTAAGTACTATTATCCCCATTTTACAAGTGAGGAAACTGAGGTCACCAGAGGCTAAGAGACCTAATGAAGGTCACACAGTTAGTAAGTGTTGAATCAGGATTAGAACTTAGGTTTTCCTACCTTCTGTCCAACCATCGAGCCACCTAGCTACCTAAATGAGGACCCTTTCTCACCACAACTGGAATGAAAGCTTCTTAAGTTTGTGGGATTTAAAAATGAGGAGACTGGATCAGTTTCTTCTCCTCAGTTCTGTTCCTTCATTTGGCAGCAAATGCCTCTTCAAATGAGGAATTTTGTAGTAAACCATCGACATTTGAGAGGAAGAAAGGAAACTGTCACATAAGACTTCCAGTTCAAAAGAGATATGTTTTGGGGGGGTTGTTTCATTTTTATAGTTCTGAGATTTTCTCTCCTCCCCAGAGTTATCTCTTAAAACATTTTTTATTAATTTATTTTTAGTTTTCAACAATCACTTCCATAAGCTTTTGAGTTTAAAATTTTCTTTCCCTTCCTCCCCAAGATGGCGTGCAATCTGATCTAAGCTGTACATGTACATTCCTATTTAACATATTTTCACATTAGTCATGTTGTAAAGAAGAATTAGAACCAACAGGAGGAACCACAAGAAAGAAGAAACAAAATAAAACAGAAGGAAAAAAAAAGAGCAAATAGTATGCTTAGAACTGCATTCAAACTCCATAGTTCTTTCTCTGGATGTAGATAGCATTTTCCATCATGAGACTTTTGGAGACGTCTTAGATCCTTGCATTGCTGAGAAGAGCTAAGTCTATTAAAGGTAGCCATCACACAATGTGGCTGTTACTGTGTACAAGGTTCTCCTGGTTCTGCTCACTTCACTCAGCATAGTCCACACAAGTCTTTCCAGCTTTTTCTGAAGTCTGCTTGCTCATCATTTCTTATAGCACAATAGTATTCCATTACATTCATGTACCACAACTCGTTCAGCCATTCCCCAATTGATGGGCATCCTCTCAATTTCCAGTTCTTGACCACCACAGAAAGAGCTGCTGTAAATATTTTTGTACATGTGGGTCCTTTTCCCATTTTTATGATCTCTTTGGGATGCAGCCTAGAAGTGCTATTGCTGGGTCGAAGGGTATACACAGTTTGGTTGCCCTTTGGGCATAATTTCAAATTGCTCCCCAGAATGGTTGGATCAGTTCACAACTCAACCAACAATGTACTAGTGTTCCAATTTAAAATTTTTTTTTTAAAAATGTCATTTAAATCTTACTCTTTACACTAGCTGGAGACAGAAGACACAAGCCTACAAATCAACATTCAGGTGGGGATATTGGAAGTTCCAAAGATGGTTTTCCCATCTTTCTTTTTGGTATTGGAAAATTCCCATCTCTGATATGTTTTAGGGATGTTCCCTCCCTTTGGGGGCTTCCAGGACGATGATTGGTGGGGAGCAATGTTATCTGCTCCTTTGCTTCGCAGAACAAATCCCCTTAGTAAAAGGATTTGTTCCGTAAAACTTGAACTCAGTCAAAAGGCCTCACCCAAGAACTTAGAAGGCCACATGCAGTCTCACGGCCAAAAATTCCCCATCCCTGTTTTAGGATATGTGAGCATAGTAATTGATTGAGGGGGATGGGAATGTAATGTTTTCTGATTTACTGGAGGTTGGCTAATTAGGGGGATATAGAGGGTTATCATCTATGATGCTAGAGGCTATGGGTCTTTGGGCTCAGATGGACACTTATCTTGGAAGTTACGAATGGGTAACAAGGAGGAGAGCTTCTCGGTTAGTTTTAGAGGTGAGAACAAAAAACAAGGAATAGCTCACATGGGCTACATGCCAACTCTCTGGCAAGTGTCAGGAGAATGACCTTGGGTTGTCCTCTCAAGGGAGGAATCAAAGGCTTTAGTTCCCCCCTCCCCTTAGGATTCTACTTGTGAAATGATAACTCAGATTCCATAAGGGAGGGGAAATAAATTCCTACAATTCACAAAGATCCTAACAAGAGGATTAAGGTCTGACTTATTAATGTAGCTATGTATAAACATGCATATCAAGCAATATTAATTCATTCACATTCCTCAGAGAGAGGAAGGCCAGCTCTTAGAGTTACAAAATTCTGTGATGCAGGATCATATCCTCATGCACACACATAACAAGAAAGAGATCTAGAACAACATAGATTAGACATTATGGAAAGCATTGCA